CCCCAAAACCCCAAAACCCCAAAACCCCAAAACCCCAGCAAAGGATCCTAAATTGAAAGCTAAATTTATTCAAAGATTATACAAAAATGTCCCCTCAAATAAAATCTCAAAGAGCCTAAAGAGCCCTTAAAGGCTATATCTCAACTGTCTGGAAACATAGATTGGTCAAGTGCCGAAAAGGTTAGAGCAGAAATTTTATCTCTTCGAGTCCGTATTCTTTCTTGAGAGACTTGACTTGCAGTCTACTAATTTGACAGTTGAATAAATTGATCATTTTGAGACTGAGCTTTAGATCTGGAGAGGTAGAAAATCCTTTGATTATGTGTGCAAATTCATTGGGTTTATTCCTCCAATCGCTATTGGTTATCCATCCTCAATACGCAAGATTAATTTTTCAAATTTTAGCGTTTTTAAGGGATTCTGAGAAATCAGAAGGAGCAGTAATAGAGAGCTTGCAAGAATCCAATCCAAGACCTTCAATATGCTTAAAGGAGACTATCAACCTTTCAAACTGTTGTTTATTAATTTTGAATTTATGCAAACTTATCTCTTTAAGTACTCTTGGGCTTATTCTTCAGATCTGTTTCAAATAAAAGCCAATATTGGGATGGTTATCCATATTAAAAACCATTCTGAAAATATCAGCTTGATGAGGAAATGATAAATTAAGAAAACTTGTCACATTCTTATCTTTCTGCTTGAAGTCTTCTAATAATGTCAGTTCAGTCTCATAAAATGCCAAAGAGCAAAGTTTCTTTGTAGATTTAACATATTCCGGAATGCCAAAATATATAAAAAGATTCTTAAATTTCAAATGTGTGACAGAATCTGAACCAGATTGTTTCACTATTATTTCTTGCTCTTTGAGCCAGTAATAAAGGCTTCTTAAAATCCTGGCATCACATTGTTTGATCCATTCTTGGAGCTCAAATTCTCTACTATATAAGCAGTTTATCTTAGATTTTTAGGTCACTCGTTGGAGACAAAATAAATTTAGATTTTAGGTAAAATATAAATTATTGGTTGCTGATTGCTGAGATGGGAGTATCTTATGTTAGGAAGTTGCTTTGGCTGAGTATGGTAATTGTAGAGATGTTTTTATGAATTTTTGCATGATTGGATGATAGAAATTGAGAGTGGTGAATGTTTGGTTAGATAAAAATGCTTTTTGATTAGGTTTGAGAGTATATGCGGGAAGCTATGGATAGATAAAAATTTCAAACTATAAGAATCGGTCAGATTTTAAGAGAATTTGATCAACTTCTATTAAAATTTTTAAATAATCAAGAATAATATCTCACGCTCGACCTATAAAATAAAGATTTTCAAATAAACACTAACTTTGATAGAATTTTAGGGTCCACAAAAATTACCTTCTGAACATATCCCTCTTCTCACCAACATCCATTCAAACCCTTTCCATTTTAATAAAAATTACAATATTGTATCCTTTACCAGGGGTTTTGGGGTTTTGGGGTTTTGGGG